TGTGCACAGAAAAATATTTAGTGAATTTCTTGATAGATGGTGACACTAGCGCTCCTTCGACGCACCTTTCTCGACAGCCTACAAATAGTATCATCTCAGAGATGTTTTGTAAGTCACAATTCTCATTACATTGGATCGTTTTATACACTGTATACTAATATTAGTATATCAGAGTCGTGTTATTCAACACAGATGCATGCAAGAAAACACTGCTTTTCAGCGTGATAACACTCGATGAGTGTGTTTTCACAACAGAAGAATATCCGATAAATATTCAAATATTATCATAATATCATCAGTAAAAGCAAAAACGCAACAGATACAGTGTCAAAATAATCACCAAATGATTGTACAGTCAACACTCTGGTGTTGAATAACACGAATCTATCAAATTAGATCTAGATACTCTAGTGTAGTTTTTGACTGTATATAAGAACGAATGACACCCTATGATGGTGTTAAAAATATCAGAGTTAATTCCCACTAAAATGATCAGGACCTCAGGGGACACCCAAGGGTGTTAGCTGGTGTGAACTGGTGTAATTTTTTTTTCACTGTGTAATGATGATATTTCAGTTATCTGGTATTCAAAATAGTCTCAAATAAATGGCTTCTCCAACTCTGATTTTTTTTATTCTGAGATACTACCTTCAAATTCCTGAAAGCTGAGTTATTAATTTCTGATCGCGTTAATAACTGCTTTCGTTAGTTTAAGAGCCAGATTCATAAAACATGCCAGCTATATTAAACTTTTTTCATCGGAGTTATTACTTCAGGAGTCGATTAAGGGTTGAATTATTTATCTGGAATGGAGTTGAATGAATGAATAACGATATCAAGAGTGGGATGGGGCTTTTTTCTTACCTGGATTACAATTATTATTCAAACGGAATATCGATCCGTGTTTTTGTTATCAGTTTTTTTTCACGTGAACTCAAACCAATATACTGCCCTTAGAGACAACAGATAGTCATTAACCTACCTACTATATTACTGTCATATCAATTATACATGTGTGGAAGCATGGTATATGAACTGAATGAAACATGCAATATGCATTACAATTGTAATTTGTGATGCGAACTTTCCATACATTTGAGAATTAAGAGAATTTTCATGATGTCGAAAATTTTTCCCATTTTCAGTCATCAATGACGTATATAGAGCAACCAAAGAATCTCATCCAAATTGCTCGCCTAAAACTCTTCTGCTCAATCTGTAAGAACTGCCGTTTATGAAATCAAACTTGAACGATGGAAAATTTGTTTTTACCGACCTTTATCACATCAGAATATGCTTTATTGAGTTTCCTCAATTCATAATATTTTTTCACGCCTATATGATGATGCCAATATTCAAGGGGCCGATTCTTCGACCCATTTCAAGAATAAAACTCCATATGAACCGAGATATGAACAGAATGTCGTAAACGTTCTAACTTTTGAGATACACCAGGGTGTCAAAGTTGAAAATATGCATAGATTATTTTTTGTCCACGCTGTATAGCTTTCGGTGATGGCAAAATTCAGTCTGCTAGGTGACTGAATCAGTAAACGAATTTAAAAATGTAACATGCGGTGGTTATCCAGTAATGAATGTTCTGAATGGAGTACTCAAACATCAAAATTTGAAGTCTGCGTCACGTTTTTTCGATTTTTCTCGAAAACGAAACGTTCTATCGAGTATCAAGAGGAGGATATTTTTTGTACATAATTAAATAGCCTTTCATAGCATTGTATATAATTTTAAAATTTCTCGTCGTTGCTCACTTTTAAGTAAAATATAAACAATAATTTTCCCGTAACGGTGCCACTGGTAGAGAAAATGAAAATTTTCGTACATCAGAAAAGGCACCTTGATGCATAAAAGACGTATACCAAATTTCAAAATAATTAATACAATATTGTCTTAGTTACCATCAAAATACTGAATATTTTTCAAAAATCAATCACCTGTATCTCAAAAGTTAAGACTTTTAGGACATACGTTCATATGAAGATTTCTTCTTAAAATGAGTCAGAAAATCACCCCCACAAATATAAGCATGTCTCCAAGGAACACTCTGTGTATATATATATATGCATCTCACTATCATTTCTGCGTCTTTACATCATTCATACTTTCAGCGTCCATGTCAAAATATTGAATTGTCTATCGATCAACAGGTAGCGGTGGCCTCATGGTACAGAAAACTGTAAAGTATATTTAACTAGTATTACGCGTTCTCTTTCTATTCGAGTTTATACATCTCGCCGCCTTTTTGCGTCCTTCTATGTTACTATCATTTCAACGCCTCCTATATATTTCGCATTATACAATCATTTCTGCGCCCGAATGTATATTTCTTGTACCAAGAGCAAACAATTCTGCATCTTGCGGTGTTGCCAAATCAGACTCATACCTATTGTATAAGTTTATATATATGATGTGTTTCTCAATAACATGCTAAGATCGATTGAAGAGGTTTTTCTTGGGTTCATTACGAGAAATATGAACTTCATATGAACATATGTCCTAAAGGTCTCATCTTCTGAACTAAATAGTACTGAAATTCTGATAAAAAATACTTGATTTCAATAATGACCTGTGAAAATAATTCTCTCGTATAAATTATTGTATAAAATAGCACAAAGTGTTTTTTTTCATACCTCTATTCGAAGTTTACATTTCCTGGCCTCATTGTATATACGGAGCAAAGTCGTAATTTCCCTCTCCCTAACTTTTTCTTTCCAGAAGGAAATAACTCATAGATAATTACGACCAAAACTATATTCTATTGTACAGGGTTATTCACGTTATTCGATACGCAGCATTTTGTTTTCTTGGCAGTTTTTTTCTCGGATGAATAGATAGCTATCAGCGCTACATTATAAAAATATTTTCAGTTTGTACAGGGTGTTTCAAAAACAAGGAAAGAATGAGGTATTATATTTTTCAAATGGAATCATTGCATTTTCAGATTCTCCCTGAAGATCTGCTTCAATCAATTCTTTACACTTAGGGTCTAGCGGAAATAATTTCAGAAATATAGGATTTTTTTGTGCCGAATTTATTCATTATTGGTCAAAACGGTTTACATGTCCCTATCTTAACTTTCGATTTTCTATCTACTGACATTCAATTGTAACAGATACAGGGTGATTCAAGATTCACAATTCTGATCACCCTGTATCTGTTTCGATTACTCTACCCCAAATTGAAAATATGCAGGATGCAAGAATAAAAATTTGGTGCCTATAAGTTATATAGTACCTGATTCTCATTTTAAGTTTTTTCAATATATTTTTTTTTATAATTTCATAGATAAATTATTCAGAAATGACTTGTTATTTGAGGAAGGCCGAAAAATCATGTATGTAAAACATGGGGGTGAGGTGCAATTCCCTTCCTTGTTATACAAATAGCTATTTTCTACAAACGTCAAAAAATAACACGGTTTACGCATTGATAACAAATTGCGAAGTGACACTATTTTTCAATTTCCTACGTTACCACGACACCATGTGCGAAGCAGTGCGCCAAGTAAAACGTTATTCAAACTGTATGAGAATTTTGTATTCGAACTTTTTATCAAAGGAAGGAAGGGATGCTCGAAGGCATCTCCACAAATTTCAATTGTGTTGTTACATAATCATAAGGGACATGTTTCGGTCTTATAAATGACCATTTTCAGTCTACTTAGGAGTTTTAGAGTTGAAAAATGTTTCCATGCTTCTTAGTGGAATTTTTGTCAATGCCCATAGTCGGGAAATCAAATGTTTAATGAGAAGACGGGTCCCAAATCCAAAACTCTCAACTAGGCTGAATATCGTCTGTTATGAGACCAAAACATGTTCCATGGTCCCAACACCATTAAAATTTGTGGAGACGACTTCGAGCATTCCTTCCTTCGAAATATTTCACTCCACTGTGAGCAATATGAACTTCTACCAAAGATCAAACTTTTTATTATCCTCAATCGAGCAAACATCCCATAAGGAATCATTTATTTCTGGATTTTCAAAAAAAATTTTTCAATCTCCTGGTGTGCACGAAAGGAAATTCCTATAATATTCGTAGATAATCGTGCGTACCTATGGAAGATATAAGGAAAGACCTTCCAAGCCAGTTCAACACTATTTTTTATATTGAGCTAAACAAGCATAATTATATTATCACTACTTCAGAACTATATTATTTGACGTTGAAAATTTTGTTTGCAAGTCGTGCGCGAAATACTTTGGTCATCTCGAATATTTTATAAACTTGGCTGCGCATTGTTGGAAAAATCTAATCTTGATTACTGGAGTAGTATTTCGATCACTAGATACAAAAATAACTATTATTTTCGTGAGTTGTCTAGCGAGATGCAAATGAATGAATGCATTTCATTTTCGTGCGTCAAATGAATAAAATATCAAATGACCAATTTTATTCATGAAGGAATGAGGATTTCAAACATGATTCTTACTTCGGGAAAAAGTAGTGACATATGAGTTGCCTTTTTCAAATGATGTAGGTACATTTTGTTTCATAGAAGATGCGTACTACGTTTTAAAAGAATATATCCAGGGGCATAGCAGCAGAGTTGTCATAACTCGTTTTCTTGCCAAGATTTAGCACCCTGTAGTTCAGAACGTAAGACCTCTAGAATAAAATTATGTTGTTCGAACTCTTGAATTATTTCAAATATGAAATCACTGAGTTCCTATTGTGGTTGCTTGAATTTGCCTCTCCCACGATATTGTAATAAATAAAACATGTCACATTGAATACTTCTAGTAGAGCAAACTTTTATTTATGGAAGGACAGATGACAGGATTTTGAAGGAAACATAATATATAAGAAACATACATATATTGATTAAGAAATAGATAAAAAAAGGAACCATTGACTTCTTGGTCAGCAAAAATCAACAAAAATCGCCGGAGAAATAAAAATTTTCAAAGATAAACATAAAATTCACAATTCAGAATATCGAATCAAAGTTGTTGAAATTCAGAAATCCTACTTTTGCTTGTCTAGTATTGGGACTTTTTAGTGTATACATTTTGGACAAACACTTTTATCTTTGTCCATGATTTATTACTCAGTAGATCAGGATATTTTGTTAGCAACTCCTCACACTCGTTCCTCTTCGGTGGTCGATTATGTTTGATATGATTTTTGAAAAAATCTAACACGATTTTTTTCTGCTGTGTTGTCCACGGAACAAGCACCCGTTTCGGTTTATATTTTGATGGTGTTGATGGCTTTGGCAATAACGGTTCGTCATGGAATACTTCACTATCCGCAATTTCATGTGACAAATCCACCTAAATATATAACAGGTAGATTAGTAAACCGATATGAAAGAGAATCATTATTAACTGGTGAAAGTGTAGGAATACTAGGAATAAACAGTGAGATAAAATGATATTCCATATCGTCTGAATAGGTATCTAGCATAGCGAGAGGAATCTTTTACATCACAAGTCACGAATTTCACTCAGTAAATGACAGCGTGAGGGTTCTCATGCAGGGTGTATCTAGATAACAGCTGAAAAAATCGAGGGGTGATTTCTCGTGATATTGTAGCAAATGAAGTTTATATGAACATGTATCCTAACTTGCTCCGTTTTTGAGAACAGATTGTTGAAGTTGGAAATATCAATTGTTCTCATTTGTAACCTCCCTGTATAAGCTTTTATGGTGCCAAAATTCAGTATGGTTGAAGACTGAGGAAGCCCTAAAATTCCGAAATGATTGTGATTGGGGTTATTGAGTAATCTCAATGGAAGTCTTGAAAACACCTACAGTGAATTTTGGAGTCAAATCGAATTTTTATTGTATCCCCAAAAAATGAGCTGGATACTAAAATCACACAAATGATACAAAAATATGTTATTACAACATATGAAACTCAGAAAACCGGTGGCGCACAATGATATCCACCATAAATATCGACAAATTTACCCACTGTGACGCCACTGGGAAGATTATTACGAATCTAATTACATCAGAAGAGGCTCCATATCACTATCAACAAGACCACATCGTTTCATTGAAATTGATGTAAGGACAATTGAAAGAAGTTAGGACACATGTTCATATGAACTTTATTTCCTAACATATCATAAGGAATCGCCCCTTGAATTTTTTCGGTATTATTCAGATTATATTCCTAATATTTCTTCTGGTTATTTGGAAGTTGAATTCGTCAAGAGTCATTATAAACAGATCACAAAGTACCTCGTCATCTGAACCATCGAGACAGTTGTTAGCTGACATGTCCTCTTGTAATCCTATTTCTTCATCCATATTTATGTCTATGTCTTCCAATGATTTCCCTTTATACTTTCCAGCATCCCCTCTCTCCATCAACATCAATAGTTTAGCAATCTTTGCTGTTTGGTAGACATCATCTGGTAATCTATATACCTTACTATGCACATCTACTGTATGTCCCATAAACGTGGCTAACTGTTCGATCTCACTGTTAGTCATATCGAATACCTGAGTCAATGTAGCCAAGTGCTTACGTAATTTCGTAGAAGTTAATGCTTCTGGATGTTTTGCACCACATAATTTTGCATGTTTTTGTACTACTTTATATCCGGTTATAGGATTATTTGATTTTGGAGTTCCAAATAAAAAAAGGTTGGAATTCTGTATGAAATTGGGCCTGGCTTCCAAGAAGAGATTCATATGATTCTGGATATCTTTGCTGAAAAGCACCGGCACTCCTCTTCCCCGCTTTCCTCTGATAACAACCCTCTTGAAACTTTTCAATAAAATTTTTTCGGAAGCTGTGATAGCTTCAGAAAACTCTTCGTAACTTTGTTCACTTTTTTCTTCCGACCTCAAATATGTGTCAAGTTTCATGCGCTGAAGTTCTCCTACTCTTTTTCTATTCAGAAGTAGAAGTCGACAAAAAATTGTTTCCATCAACAAAACAAAACTCTGCAGATTTTGCATACTTCGTTTCAGGTTGATTGCGGCTTCATTTCCTCTCTTCATGAGATAGGTTCTGAACAGTTTCAAATCTGCTGCTAAGGGTATGATTGTGATTTTGTTCCAAGTTTTGGTATTCAGATCATGACCGGCTTGACTAGATATTTCGTGTCTCCATGTTGTTTCTAGCAATCTTTTAAACATTGTAACGTCCGCTTCTATTTCTGCAGTAGAAACATCATCGGCTTTATATTTGCGTTTGCAAATATGCAAAATTGCTATATCACAACAATCTTTTAAGCTACGGCTGATATTCATGGCAAAAGTTGGTGATTCATATGTATCTGTATTTGAATCATATTTGGCAAGTATTCTCGCACTTTGCACCACGATGTCGAAATATTGAGGATGGAGCAATTCATAAAGATTTTTTATTTTAATATCCATTTTCTGGGATTCCATCAGCATTTTACCTAATTCCCTCATTTTTCTTGAGCAAACCAAAGCGTGATGTTTTTCTCTATGAGTTGAGAGAAATCTTGTTCCGAAGGCACATATTAGAGGATCCTTTTTAGCACAAAGAGAAACCTTATCTGCTTGCATACGGGAGAAAACTCTTGTTCGCAAATCAGCTCCGATAGACGAACTATTCAGAAACATATTTTGCCCATCACCAGGAGATGCACGTTTACCACTGGTATTTTCTGGACATTTCCTTTTATGACGCCATAACATTCGGCGTGAATAGAGCCCATGACAAAATGGACATGGAAGATAGTTTTCTTCTTTGTTGAGAATACTCTTATGAACAGGCTTGTATAAGCGAGAGGTATTCTGAAGAAAATTTCCTTTCTTCCGCAAGGAAGCAATCAATTGTTTCCTTTCCAGGGAATTCGGAAGCAATTGAAGAATCTTTCTAACTTCCAATTCTTGAAAATGGTTCCGTTTTATATGACGAGCGAAATTTAAAACCTCTGTTTCACAATAGAAGCAAAAATCTTTCTCACGAATTTGTTTTTGTTTATTCCGACGAGACGTCCTTACATTTCGACTATCCAATGGAGATGTTTCCAAATCTCCTTTGCTGGTTTGAGCATCAATTGATGGTGTTTTTAAATGTTCACCCTGCAATTGATGAATCTCTACACCTCCATTATTGCTTGGTTGTGCTTCAATTGATGGTTTAAGAATCGTAACCTAAAAATAAACTGTATTACCACATTCTCCAATTCTGAATAGATTAGTTCCTTACATTATGTACTGTTATCTTCGGTATTACTTTGAAAATAGGTGAAGCAACTGATGATGTTTGTATATCCGGATCACCCTGTAGAAAAACAATGTTGTTGTTGAGATAATGACATATTCGGAGTCAGAAGATGGACATTCCATTTCTGCTGTTGATATATTTTGAGCAGAATCAGAAGAATCCAGACAGGGAGGGATAAAGGTTCACAGAAAAAAATGATGTATCATTTGTACAAACCTCAGAATCACTATTATTAAATGAAGAATATAAACTTCCATTCTGGTTTGTGAGATTGCGACCACAGTCATTATCTGAATCAGACGGATAATAGGTAGGATCATCATCCGTATCTGTCGAAAATAGCGGTTCATCGGATTCTGAATTATCTGAAATATGAAGAAAAAGAAGACGTAGATATGTAGAGTAAATTCAAGAGTGTGATTCTGTCATTTCTAATAGAAGGTGCATTATGTTTTTCTTATATATCAGACACGAATATAGAATGTTCATTTGGAAATATCAATGTTGAGAACCAACCAATGAGCATTTTAAATATGTGCTTGCATCAATAAAATCAAAAGTATTCCTAGGAGAGCGAAAGTTTCCTATTTAGGAATGAATAGGTCTTGGCCTGGCTTGAACTAACAACATAGAGTCCACCCAACCTCTCATTGGAACTCATTCAACACTTGATTATGTATTACATTTTGAGATAATTTTATATGGTATACCCAGTATACCCTGAATCTCGAGCAGATCATTTCTTTTTTTCTTCGATTATTCACAAGCAGCATTGATATATTCAGTTTGATCAACTGAAAACTATGTACGAGGACAACATATTTCTAGAAGAAGAATCTGCGATGCTCAGATACAGCAGATTCGGATAATAAAAAAATTCACCGACTACGAAGTTGGAGCGTACTCTCATCCGAACACTGGTTGGCCTAGTGTTCCAAATAACTCAAAAATGTATATCGATTTAATATTCAACACACTATATTTCACGAAATCATAAAATTTGTTTATCTTGCTCTGGTAAATATTTTGAAAAAAGTCAACGTACCTTCAGGATGTTCAGTGTATGTCATCTGAATAATGCTAAATTCTTTTTCTAGTCGTTTTAATTCTTCATCTGTTGGTAATCCATTCATATCATTTATTGCGCATTTGGTTTCATTTTTCACGTAAAATGGAAACGTTTCATAAAACATTTCAGAGTATCCATTAGGTTGTGATACTGAAAAATTCAGATCAATTCAATTGCAATAATAAGTAAGAATAATAGAATTATGTTGATAATAATGGGGGAGATATGAGTTTAAATATAATATATTCTTGATCCAGGAATGTTGTTTTCGAAATATCATCTAAAACTATCGATCTATTCTGAAAATCCTTAGTTGGGGATAGGTATGTGCTTGATCTGGTGAATATATCATCACAAATCGTATGTTAATTTCATAAACTGTAAAATAAGATTAGGATAGACTACTTTTTGAAAATCCAGTGGAGAATTTCAATCATAAATATTTCAGCGTCCATAGGACGCTCAAAGGATGTGATGGACGCTGAAATACATATGTATTAGTTCAGAATATATGGATGCTCAAAGGAAGTGAACGAAGAAACATGTAATATTAGAATGTATCAATATTTCAGCGTCCGTATATATCACACTCTTTCGCAATATTGGAGCAGCCATTTTGTTTTCTTTTGTTCAACAAAAATGTAATAATGCGTTGTCACCAAGATTATATGCACCTGTCAAATGTCAAGTCAATCGGACGACTAGAATAATTGTGTCACTTGCAAGATTTCACCCGTGCAGATAAATGAATAATTGAATAAATGGATGAAAGAAACGAGGTTGAAAGTTGAATAAAAGCTTGTATGAAAATATCAGTTGTACTGGGAATCTGAACCGTTTAGGCTGATGCTCTTCCTGATTGTTTGTGACGCTCAGACTCTTCAATCCAACACATGCACGAACAGAAGATTTCGGGGAATCCCTTGGATTGGTGGAATTCCGTTTGTTATACTCAAATACTCATGATGCGAATAACAAAAAATATATGAATGGATTCATCATTTGCGAAACTAGCACACATGATACTTTAGTTTGCACCTACCTAATAGATTGGATCGTTATAAGCAAAGGCATGCAGTAAGCTAGTTCGTAATAGACGGACTTTACTGTTTATTTTGCTACCAAACAATATTAACTATTACATGTTACATCCCATTATTGTGGATGTGTGACAATATAACTAAACACACTTACCTGGTGGAGATTTCTTCAACATATCGATGATTTTTTCCCTCGCGTTTTCATGGTGGTGCTTATGATCACAATACACTCAGAAGAATGACATACAGTGGATATTATATGATATGGCAGTGTTGCCATGTGGTTGGACGCTCAAATATCTGAGATTCAATCCTGCAATTGATATACAGTATACGTTCGGAGCGCCGTTGAGCGGACATTACTTGAACTAAACGTGTATACTGCCTGTCCAACTTGAGATAATCCAGCGTCCAGTCGCATTTAATATCACTCAAAGTACTAGGAATTTGACGTTTCAGATCTTTGCTATGATTCTGTATAAATATAGTGGATCAACAAATCGTTCATGGGTGCCTCTAGTAGTACTCTGTCACAAAATAACATGGAATTACATTTCAGCGTCCATATATGGACGCTCAAAAGAGGAGGACGCTTAAATATATCTAATTTCAAAATGTACGGACGCAGGAAGGATAGAAAGATATATATATATATATATATATATATATATATAAAGGGAGACATAGAAAAAGTACATTGCATAGTGCCACACAAAAGAGGACACTAAAATAAGAAAAAAAGTTCCTATGAACATGGGTCCGCAAGGCCTTCGGTTAAAAGATACGGAGTGTTGAATTTTAATGGAAAAATGAACAACTTCTGAGAACTCGATGTTTTGTTTTAATCAATCATATTTTTCATCATACCATCAAAATGTGATTGTTGAAGTATTTATCATTGTTTTTGCAAAAGTTACTTTGGCGCTTTTTGAATAATTTGCGTGCATTGTCGGCTTTTAGATGCATTTGTACTGGAACCATTGCTTCTAGCTACTTGGACAAGGTATACCTCTCTTAAGTATAAAAAAAGGAATAAAAGATTGTTTCCGTCGAAAATGACATACAGTGTATAGCAAAAAAGTTACGACCGATTCAATAGAGATGGAAGCCTGTATGTAGCGCCCTCTCAGTCATCACAAAACTAAGATCATATTTGAATTTAGCATGATGAAAAACCCCTGTATACCACATTTTATCCATTTCTTGCGTCTCTGGCTAAAGGTATTCAAAGAAAACCCAACAAAAATTTCAATTCCTTGCGGCCCCATGTTCATAGGAACCTTTTTTTCTTATTTTAGTATCCTCTATTGTGTGGCACTATGCAATGTACTTCTTTCTATGTCACCCTGTAGATACAGACATGTACAGGGTGGCCCACATATGCTCGCTCGGACCATAGCTGCAAGGCTGATAGAGATAGAAGAAAAATGTCATCGGGAGTTATTGAAGACTCCATAAGCCACTCTTCGAAATTATTTTCGAGTATACAGGGTGCACCATGAATCAGGGGTGAAATAATCGATCATTATTTCAAATGGTACACCCTGTATTTCATTTCATTTACGGAATTCATCTCATGTGTGCTTAACAAACCAATTTTGTTCTTGTGGATCAGATGCGACGTTGTCAAGTTATTAACATTTTGATCAAATTTGACGAGAAAACAAAAATATTGAAAAATATCAAGGAAACTATATTTCAGAAGATTCATGATCAAAACTTGGTACACAGATACTTGAAGTATGTAAAGAAACTCAGACATTATTGAGGTTCACTCGAAATATACAGGGTGTTTTCAAATGAGGACCAAATTTCGCTATTATTTTCGAATAGCAGAAACTCATTTTTTTTAAATGAATCACCCTGTATATTATTGAATATTCTGATAATGGCAGCTCCTTCAAAATACAGAATCATGGTCCACAAGTTCCATCTGCGTTCGGAGGGTGAAAAAATTATTTCTTGTGCATGTGTTATATAGAAATTTCAATTGATAAACTTCCTATACATATTAGGTATTGTTATATCTATTTCATCATGTACTGTACTGTGATGAATAATCTTCCTTTTTTGATAAAATGGAACATTCCACTACATATATCTTTCCAGCTATGTCAATGAGAATAGTAATTCTCCTAACAAGTGCGGAAAGTGATTCTTTCCCGCGCGAGACTGCCGCTGACACGAACGACGCGAAGCAGACAAGCAGTCGAGTGCGGGAAAGTCACTTTCCGCATGAGTTAGGAACAATAATTTTTCTACAAGCGTAGGAAATTGATTGATTTGTTCAATCAATTATTCATCCATATATATAACCAACTAACAAGAGGAATATACTCTCTATCTACTGATTATTAATAATGGATATTGTGAACTTACAGTTTAACGCATTATGTATAGGTTTATTGTGGAAGCCAGCAAGCCCATTTATGGTGTTTGGTATCTAGTTTTCATACACTTCTAGGAAATGCGCCAAAAATACGTCTTCTTCATTCGGTATTTTCATTTATTTATCGTTGCACCATTCAATAAAACGCGTGCAGGGCCATCTTAAGAGTTTCGGGGCCCCAAGGCACGAGATGTTTTAGGGCCCCCATATTTTTTTAATAGACTAAAATAGGTAATGAAACATTTCAAATAAAATAAAATCTTGCATATTGAACAAACATTAAGAATATATTATTTCAATAAGCAATTTAATATTTTGTAAGTACCTATTTAAAAGTAACTAAAACTAAGAACAATTTTTGGGAAACACAGGTACTCAGTGAAATGCAGAGAAAAATAACCTAAATATGTCGTTTTCTTGATTTGATTTCAGCAAATCTGTTTATGATCTCCTCGAAATCAATATTTTTTGTTATTTCATTTTCAATGGACAAAAGTGCCAAAGAATTGAGTCTTTCCTGTCCAATGGTCGAACGCAAATGATTTTTGACTAACTTCAATTTTGAAAACGTCCTTTCTCCTGCACAGTTCGATGTATGGGTGCATAAGAATATTCTGACAGCTACCTCTACGTTGGGAAATACCTGAAAAATAGGTGATTTTCATCGATATTTGAGTTCTCCTAAGTCACTTAATATTAACCTGTCTTATGTCAGAGTCTTTCAATAAATCCCAGAGATTTCTGAAGGTCAGTGATACTTTTTCCAAGGTATTCAAATATTCTTTTAAATGTATACATTCTTCTTCAAATTCGGGCTCCAAGTCTTCGTTATATATATTTATCAATGTCTTTGCACATGTTCTAATCAATTCAGTATTCAAATCTAATTTAGTTAAAAAACTGAATTTCTTGTCTAGATTTCTATATGCAGCTCCCCTTCGTTCTAGTTCTGCCCACAAAGTATCAACTATAACATAGAAAGTATTTGTTTTAAAATACTGGCTTCCATCCATGGCTAGAGCGGCATCTTCTGAAGACGTTCTGTCTTCGTTCTTTTTATTCATCACTTTTTTCCGTTTGAAGTCCTTCTCATATCTCGTTTCAGTGGTAGTGGATATATCTTTTGCTGCTTCTTCATAAATTCGAAAATCATCGCGCATCGACAATATGTAGTTGCTCAGTGAATTATATAAATGAACAACGTTATCTATATCAATGTCAGAACTTTGCAGTTTCTTGTTTGTTTGGTCGAATCTTTTCAAAATATTACTCCAAATGGTAGTCATCAAAGCAGTTTCCAATCGGTCTAATTTTTTAGCCAAGTTATTTGCTTCAACACGTGCCATAGATTTTTCTTTCACATCATTGCCTATGGTATTCAATGCATTATAAATCTCTCTATATGATATAGCTAGAGATCGACAGGCATCAGCACGAGCTGACCAGCGGGTTTTTGAGAGATTTTTCAGAGAAGTTGATCTACAATTTTGTTTCAAATGTTCATCTAATATTTCCCATCTATGGGTTGATGCACTGAAAAAATTGTATAGTTCTTGAAGTAAACTGAAATAGTTCACTGCCTCTGGACAAGATTCAGCAGCGCATGTACCAACTAAGTTCAAGGAATGTGCGGAACACGGAACATATTGAGCCAATGGATTAACTTCTTTTATACGGGCTTGTACTCCAGTATAAACGCCGGACATATTACTTGCGTTGTCGTAACTTTGGCCACGGCAGAACTTTATGTTTATATTTTTTTCGGCAAGGAACGATAAAATACAATCGGTTATGGATTCTGATTTATGACCAACATTCTGTATGAAACAAATGAACCTTTCTGTTGGTATTCCATTTAATTGAACATATCTTATGATGAAAGTCAATTGATCGAAGTGGGAGATATCTGGAGTTGAGTCAACGCTGATAGAAAAATATTTGGCCATTTTTATTTCCCCGATAATGACATTCATAACTTCATCTGCCATGAGTTGAATGAATTCATCGCAAATGTTTGCCGATAGATATGATACATTTCCTTTACCCCTATTGCCATATTCTGATAAATGACTCGCTAAAAAGGGATCGAATTGGGCAATCAGTTCAATGCATCCCAAGAAATTACCGTTTTCTGGTGACCCCAAACTCTGATTGGTACCTTTGAAAGCCAAGCCGCGAGCAGTCAGCATTTGGACAGTGGCCACTACCCTTTTCAAAACCTCCCGCCAATATTTTTTTTCTTCCTCGATTTGTTCGCAAATATGATGGTCGATCCTTTGACTAGATTTACCACGTGCACTCAATTTGAAGCATGATGTTCGATGTTGAGAAGTGTTCTCATGTTCAGAAACACGTGTTGTCACATTTTTCCAATCACAAAACCCATCCTTTGCGAATTTACTTTCATTTGATGAATAATTTGAAAACAATTTGCATGGGACACAAAATAGCTTGCCTGTAGATGGAGAATATACTAGCCATTTTCGGGTAACTCTCTCTCCATTCAATTTTCGTCTAAGAAATATGTTCTTCGAACATGATCTCTTCACATTTTCGTTGTATGATGTTGAATAAATTTCTGAAGATTTTGAAAAATCACCTTCAATGTTTTGATCATATCCGTTCATGCAAATATATTCAACTGTCGACTCATTGATTATCCAAGTTGCTGGATCGTTTCTGTCTATATTACATACCTCTGTTTCCGATTTCAAAGATTCCTCATTGGAATTCGATTCGTTCTTGTCCAATTGCATGCTTGTGGCTGGCAACGTGTCATCTTTTTCCTGCTCTCGCACGTCACTGACGATAACGTCATTTATTTCTTGAGTGGAAATACCGCTCGAAGTACAGAAAAAACTTTCAGTTTGGTTCATATCATCGGATTTTTCATTTTTCGGTTTAAATAAGTCTTGTAATTTGGGTATTTTTGCCATCATCAACTCCCTGGAACATTGTTTTTCTCTTTGCCTCTTACGTTTTTCACTCCCACTCTTTCCCCTTTTGTACATGATTGTTTATTGTTTTATAACAACTTCAAATAAATGCGAAAATACCCGAACCGCGTTAATATTAAATATTACTAATATTAGGTGAATGGCAATTGGCAATGTATTCATTCGTCAGGCACCCGCCAGAAAGTCTCGCATTATGCATGCATGCACTCGTTGCCCGTTGGATTCCAACTGGATACGGTCTACGCGTCTACGAAATGATATATGGAGCTTGGATGTTGTGTACGTCATACGGTCACGTGTACCTTCGCAAAAATCAGTGTCGGGTAGGCTGATGGTCAACGAAATTGAATAAGACGTTTAAATCGAAAGTGTTTTATACAAAATTTAAATATTTCTACCTACATAATTATAATGTTATGTAGGTTTTGAATTTTAATGAGAATTTGGAATAATCAGCATCCAGAAAGCAACAATTTGAGACTAGTGCAGGGCCCCCCTGAGGCCGGGGCCCCAAGGCACGTGCCTCGCGTGCCTTGTTGTTAAGATGGCCCTGAACGCGTGTATAGCTTTTCATACCTTTCTTGAGACTCCTTTGGCAATAACGCATCTATATCGCATCCCTATAGCTGGAAGTTTTTGATCACATTATGACAATTCCACTGAATTGAAAATGACAGGATCGCTGTGTCTGTCACTTCGACAATAACAAACTCATTTGAGGTTTGATTGGCATGATAACAATAATCGTTTCCCATCAGATACATCCAAATCTACAGGAGGATAATCAATTTTTATTTTTCAATATTTCTGAATTTTCACAATGAATAGTGCAATTTGATAGATGATTCTGAACATACATACTTAATACTGCAATAAACAAACTCAAACTCTCATATTCCATCAGCTACCACTTATTTTTTGCCATATTATCATATCTCTGTCGGGAAAAACTTTCTCGCACTAGTGTGGGAAACATTTTTCGGCTTTGTTGCGGGAAAATGATACTTCCCAAACTGAATTGCGTGCGGGTATAGGGTGAATCACGCACGCTTGTAGAAAAAAATATTTTTGGACAGTAAAGCACAGATTGATTTGATTTGACGATATGTCTGATACCATTGGTATACCACCCCCAGAACATTCGGAATTTTGAAAAATTGTGATGTATTCGTTGAAGTTAGTGATTGATTCAGAAATATTTTCAGAATCCGAAATATCTTATACACATGGCAAATATTTTTGTTGTTGGAGGCCGAAATTTCTCCCCTTCCGTTTCTTCTTTTTCTCTCTCGGAATCGAATTTACTCGAGGTCACTAGCAACCACCATTTCATCGTCACTAGCAACCACCATTTCATCATCACTAGCTCCCAATACTTGAACATGCATAGGGTTGTCCAGTTCGTCCCAACCATCGTTGCCGTCTTCAAACAAAGTTGCATCCAAAGATGTCCAAAGTCAGATTCATCCAAGCCCAAATTATTTGCGATTTTGCGATTTCTTCAAATTCTGCATTCGTGAATTTCAGATTCAGAATATGATGAATGATATCTAACGAGTTAGGAATGTAGAATAATATTAGCTGACAGTAAAATGATATCACGCGCTAGACTGATTAGAGAACATTTTGAACCGTGGTATTATATATGATACCTGGGATCCGAGGATGATATAGCTTGTTTCATATAGACATCCGAGAATACTGAACGTTGATTATGCTAAGTTTTTCTTGGAGATAAGTTACCACGATGCATTCTCGAATATAAATCATCATCAGTTCTAGAATAAATTATGTATATTCTCTTGAGGTATCAAAAAAGTAGGTATATCGATAATGAAATCACTCCGTATGTAGAAAGACCATTTTCATGTTGCTGCAGTTGCAATAAAAATTGGAAGGGTTATAAATTTCCCGTGTTGTTTACGTGATTTGCTTCGTAGAAAACTTCCAGAAAATTGGATGTCTGGTAAATGGAGGTTTCATAATGATTAAACGCCAGCACATTTTTCTTATGAAATATACGTAGATCTTTGACCAGACCAAACCAAGTAGAATGCTACTGGGAATTGTTTAGTGAAGCAATTTTTGAATGCCGCTATCCTTCCATTATAATTAGGGTCTTGAACAGGAATTTCACTGATGTAGCACATAATAGGCTGAGAATATATTTCAATTCATTCTCAATCGGATATTGACAGATTATTCTCAGTAAGGACGGCATAAAATGATCAGAAGAAATCTTCTCATTGTAGATACTTTCAATGTTTGTGGAATAGTTCAAGTAGGTATAGAATGTTGCTACAAAATAGGTACATAATTAATCGTCCAGCATTTTCTGATTAAATAAAAACATGATTAATAACCTTTCGTGTCTTGGGAGGGGAATACACGACTCACTCATAGTGAATAATCTCGTTACGAATATTGATACATGGTGTTGGAAAACTTGAACAGCAAAAGGTCTTTAGTGTTCAATTTTTGAGGTACTGGGTTTTGAAGTTGAAACATCATGAAAATTACTTTATTGCTATAACCCAGGAACGATTCGATATATTTCGCATTCGGTATTGAGTAAATTATATGTGATTTGATCATTGATGGTTTTCACCAGGAAGTTATATCAGACATATAGTGATGCTTCACATGGGGTTATGGTAACTTTTTCTCCCATATTTGTCGAGACATTGATAAAATTTTGGTAATTTCTCATTTCTCTGTTCAATTTTGTTGAAGGAATGCATGACCTCCAACTGAGCTGAAATGAAGTTTTCGAAATATGTGTCCCGAACTAGAAGCAATATACCAAATAACGACTCTCATACATCAGATAGTTGAAAGAAATGGAGTCCTGAGTGATTGAATTGAACTTCAAGCATCAGTTTCAAGTCATATAAGGTATAAGGTTCCAGTTCAAGTGGTATAAGGCAAAGAGCTCCTTCATCATTCTTCATTAGCAAAATTCCATCAGCGAGCCCCATCAAGTGCCAGTTTATTGTAAACATAAAACTCGTATAAAAGTGATGTCTACCACCATCGTTTATTCATCCACATCCCCTTATCGATCTAGAGGACATTAGAAGTACTATTGAGTGGAAGGAAATAACGAAGTTCTCAACTTCCAGCGTTTTGCCTTCATTCCTTGGTGTTGAAGGAGATGATTAGTTTTGGATAGTAGCCATCTTACAGGAATATCAAAGCCCTGAGGAAGCAGAAGGACGATCTAGCCTTCATAGTCATCTAGTGACCTGAGTGCAAAGGTTTGAAAAAGAGTTTGAAAAAGAAAGGAAGTTGTGTTGAGAACAACTGACAGTTATTTTTGAAGTATAGTAGATCGTGTTGATTGAAAGCAGGGTGCAAATTTATTGGTTATTGGGAGAACTAGGTAGCTTCTTATCACTACTAATGCCTAGTGATTGGTCGGAAATAGAAGAAATCTAACTGACTCTAAGAATAGGCATGTATTTATCATCAAAACAATGTTATCAATGTGAATCAAGATACCAATTTGAAATCGTCAGAACTGTAATGATGTCAACAAGAGTTTCTGATGTCCACAATAAATGAAGTCAATATCGCTAAGCCTACTTCTACACACCTACCAATGCAATAATACGTATTCAATGGACAGCGCCAAATACTATTTTCGATAAAATGTCAGATGCTATCATACAGAATATCAGGTTTTCGCCATTCTTGGTGAAACATAAAACGTCTTGACATAGAGAGTTATCGAATGAAATTGCTGTTGAGGTGTGGACTGTCAATCGATTGTGTCCCACAAGGATTCCATTTATTTTACCGTTCGTGAGAAAAAGTTCAGATAACACGCAGGCTGACTGACCCTTCCGGCAGCGGACAGTCGAAAGATTTGACTTTTCCATGGGTCAGTGGCTACAAGATATTTTTCAGCTCATTGGCATCCAGTGAGCCGTCGGGATTTAGTCCGCTTTCAGAGTTTTTCCATTGAAACGATCACTTTGGTGCTTTTTAGCACAAAGAAACTTTTCTGCCATTCTTTGAAATCGCCTGTCGTAAACAAGAGGATTTGATGAACTATATGGCTTCAGTTTGTATTTCGGCAAGTACTTAATGATAATGACTCGGATAATGATAATGAGATTTAGATGTCTATACAAAGTGGCGGCCTTTCATCTGAACAATCGTTCAATAGAATGATATATTTTCATTGATTTCTGACATCAGAATACTTGTTGTGTATAAACCGGGTGCCCGTTTTTTGTGCTCCAGCATGAAGATCTCAGTTATTTTGAAAAATTCGAGGTCGGTGCAAAGCTTGGTGCAAAGGTACGCATTTTCATGCTGAACAAATAATCTGTAAGAGATTGGATCTGTCACTTTCAGTTCATGAATTATTGGAAGAAACGAAAATTTGTAATTTTTGTTTTCATCTTCTCAAGCAAAAACCTAAATATCTATATATAAGTTTTTGACAGGGACATTCTAAGGGCACTTTTTAACGAGGAATCTGAATATGTCATCGAATTTTCCAAGGCGTTCTTGTTGCCAAAGTTACAACACTAAATCCAATGTTGAAATTATGCTTTTCTGCCAAGTTTTTTTATGATGACAACGATATATCACACGATATGATCGAATCTTACTGGCTGACCAATATAGTTTAAAAAAATTGTGCGAAGAGTACTCTGGAAAGAACGTCTAGAATTCAACAGTGCATTAAAAATGCGAGCAGGACTTTTCAATTCTTGGGCACATCTACAAAAATGCTTCATATTCATTATACGCCTCGCATCGAAATGCGCAAATTACGTTCGGAACATATCTCCAGCAGTTACCCAGAGGAAGAACTTCATTATTTTTTATGACTACATAAAAATTCAGCCCACCATGGTTCATTTCTGAAACCTAGACGACGGTACAAGGATATTGAAAAATTTAACCGAGGTGGCTGTTTTTCTAATGGTGAGTGGAAAAGAAAAAAAACTGCTAGAGAATTTGAGTTTTTTTTCCCTTCATGTTCAGAATAATCGTCTATCTAATCTTCATCTCAGAGATGGTGGTCAACAGGTAGAGTT